CAGAAACATGCGTACGCACTGTTTTATAAATCTGAATGTTTTTTTTGCATACGCCATTTTYGCCTTTTGGCCGTACGTTCACTTTTAGTATGGTTTCCACGCAATCCTTTATAAATGAGACCCCTGATGTTTTGTTTTTTCATTCTAGCTGGGAAATYTAAATAGCCTAATAATTTTTGAGGTTTCCCCTTTAAAATGACATCAACAATTCCTCCCTGAAATAAATTAAAAATAGGATTCAGACCAAATATCAATGAGTTATCCTGATTAAGAAGACAGATGAAGTCAGATCTTGAAAGGTTCAATATATCAGGATGATCCAGGTGTCAAAATGTAGCTCAAAAAGCAGGACAGGAGAATGTGCTTAGGTCATTTTGACTAAATTTGACTGATTCCTCGGTTTGATGTGATGGGTCACGTATATGTTTTTTTATCAGTATTTGAAGACAAATACAATCGGTTATTGCACTTTAAAGGTGCTGATTCATTCCCTCAAAGTTATCCAAAATCAGTCAATTTGCATCTGCTGTGGTGTCAGAATGACCCCAAAATTGATTGAAAATATAAGTTTCTTTTATTGTTGGAACCCTGGGCAGTTTGTTCTCTGAGGTCCATGTCATTTGATGAGAAAGTGATCAGGGAGAGGCTCACGCCGCTGTTCAGCTGCAGGTTTGTAGTTCTGTAGTGAGGAAGTCAGGCAGTATATATGTAGAATTTGCAGGAGTTTAAATCCTTTATGCAGCATATTCTGTCAGTTCTGTGTGACTCCAAAGCTGTTATTGTTTTGTCTGCTCCTGGTGTCTAAAATTGGCAGCCCTGTGACAAACTGGTTTATGCTCCTATTGTAACGTGGTCAGTAGATTAAAATCCATGAAGAACACAGAAGTTGGATCTCAGAGGTAATTCTGAAGGTACAGGCTCACATTTTGACAATAAGTTTGTTCTCCTGTGTTTTGTTTTTCCAGGTGAGCCATTGTTGGTTTGGTGCATGTGGCCTGCTGTCACTCAGATCTGTAGTTTGGATGAATGATGTGACTGAGCCAGCAGCCTGAGTGGATGAGTATTTACCTGTTGGCTCCCTCCCTCTGCTCCTCAGGTGTCTCTGCTGGAGTATCGTAAGAGGAAGCAGGGCGGCGGTCGAGACTCTGAGCTAATGGGAGGAAGCAGCCGGTCCCGGTCCGGCTCCTACTACAGCAAGGAGACCCAGAATCCTTCCCAGAGTCCAGCCTCCCCACACCACTCCCTCTCCTCCACAGCTCACACAGCCCCTGTCCCACAGGTAGAAGAGGTCAGTCCTCCAGACCACCACAGGCTTCCCGGGAAACCCAMACGTCAGGAGAGCAACAACCAGTGGTGAGAACTTCTCCCTTTGTCGAGACTTGGAGCTTTTATTGACTGCAGAAAGTACTCAGATCCAATCTTCTCCCAAGGATGGTCCCCACCACCGTGGAACGTCTGCGGGAAGGCCAGGGGGCTCTAGAACGTGTTCTGAGGAGCATGAAGATGGAGCGGGTCTACAAGAGGAGCGATGGCTCCACAGAGAGAGAGCCAGGTAACCTCAGAGGATTCCTTCCACACATGGCCTAGTCAGGGGTGGGCAGTCCTGGTCCTGGATGGCCCTACCTGCTCCAACACACCTGATTCACTCACTGAACTACCTCTTCCAAGTTCTGCAGTATGGAGGACCGACACTGACATCATTAGAAATAAAAGCAGAAATGAACCTTTAAATAAATAAATACATTTAAAATGCACCAAATAAATTAAAAAGGAGAACTTTACCTCCTGTTTTATAATTTAATTAACCTTTATATTTATTTTTCCAGCTTAGTTCCAATAAATTATATATATTTAACATATTTTTTCCTTTTACTTGTACATACGTTTGTGTCTCTTGAATGCTTAAATTGAATTATTTTTATAATTTTGTACAAGTCTTTTTATTTCTATATATGTATATAAAGTTTAGTTAAAATAAATGCACAGGTAATGTTTTCCTCCTTGCTTTGTTTTAAACTAAACTTTAAACTTTTAGCTAAACTGAGGCACAAGCATGCAGCACAGAATTAAAAGACTTGCTGGAGAAAAAAAGTATAAACATTTG